GGAGGCCTCTGTGTCACCGTCTCCTTTAGTTTTCCCGAGGCTCCGAGGGTGGGCGTGCTTGTTATTTACAAGTGAGGGCGCTGAGGCTCTGGCCGTTCAATCACCTGCTCGGTGTCGCCCGCTGGCTCAGGAGATTTGGTAGCCCTTCTGTGTTTTCTGCCACAAGGCCTTTAAATATATATGTTTGTGTGTGTGTGTGTATATATATATATATGTTTTTATTGATTAGAGACAGAGGAAGAGAGAGGGAGAGAGAAACATCCATTCAACATCGATCAGCTGCCTCCTGCACGCCCCCTGCTGGGGATTGAGGCCAAAACCCAGGCATGTGCCCCAGCCAGGAATCGAACCCAGACCTCCTGGTGCAGGGATGACGCTCAACCACTGAGCCACACCGGCTGGGTCGCAAGGCCTTTTTTTGTTTGGTCGTCTGAATCCAATCTGCACGTGTTTATTTTATTTTACTGAAAGACACGTGTGTCCGATGCTTGTGTTCACTGAGAGGATAGCTCTGATACGCTGAGTAGGCTTGAATCTTAAAAAATATTTAGGTTTTTATTTTGAAATAATTATAGACTCACAGGAAATTGCAAAAACAGTGCAGTGGGGTCCCGTGTACCTGTCACCCAGCTTCCCCCAATGACAATGCCTTTGAGTGCTGCAGTGCAGGGTTTCCCACCTTGGCGGAATCGACATTTGGGGCCAATTGTGTGTGTGTGTGTGTGTGTGTGTGTTTTGGGGCGATGTCCTGTGCACTGTAAGATGTTTAGCAGCCTGTCCTTGACCTGCTAGATGTCCACCCCCGGTTGTGACAATACCCCTAGAGAACTGCCAAGTGTCGCCAGTGGGCTGAGAATCACTGCTATACACAACATCAAAACAAGAAATTGACGTGGGTTAAGTATTATTAACTGGATAACATACCTCCTGTTTTAGTTTTCATGTGTCTGTGTGTGTGAGTGGGAGTAGTTCTCTGCAACTGTATTACACACACGGATGTGTGGAGCCGCCACCTCCAGGACCCAGAGCCGTGGGCCTCAGCACCATACAGTCTCTGAGGCCCTCACTGTAAAATCGGTTCGTCCCAGAACCGAAGGACTTGGACACCCAGCAGTCGCTGCGTGGGCAGCCAGTCTTAGTCTCTGAAAGGCTCCAGCAGTGGCTGAGCCTGGGCCGGCTCACAGCCCTCTCCCGAGGGCTCCGCCCGCCTCCGGGATGCTGCTCCTCGCAGGGACCCCACCTCCTGCTCCTCTCTGCTCCTCGCAGTCGGCTGTTTCTGGCGGAATCCTGTCGCCCCAGCTGCCTGCGGCTGGAATGCACAGGGACCCGGAGACTGGGGTTCAGGGCCCGGGTCTTCATTAGCCCGAGGCGAAGAGTAGATAAGGGGCCACGTCTTGGGCCAGCCGGTGGGTTTGGGGCGTGCTTACTCTGCGTGTCATCTCCTCCAAGTGGGTGACCTTGTTTTGCGGTCATACTGCTTTTAGAGAATGAACCAGAACAGAGGAGTAAATCACAGTCACGTAATTCACTTACCCTTTCTTTCCCAAGCGGCCGTAAGACACAAACAAGCCAGTGAGCAAGGTTTGCTCCCCTCCCCTCCTTCGCGCCTTGGGTGGGAAACAGGCGGGTCAGGCAGCCTTTGCCGTTCGGGTTTCTACGGGCCTGTTGCTTCCTCGGGACGGGATAAGGCGCCGCCTGTCGCTAAGGCACATGCCTGCACCGCGGCCACAGTCCCGGCCCCAGTGCCCAGCGCTGGAATTCGCAGAGTGGGCCCCGAGCCACATTTGTTTGTATGTGGTGCCCAGAATCTGCGAGCTTGCATTTTGCGCCGTGTGGCGCCCAGCCCGCGGGCGCTGTGGGGAGCTGCTATCGGAGGGAGCTGAGCTGCAAACAAAGCCTCCCTGTGCGCCCGCCGGTTGCTGGAAGGAGCTTCACCCGTAAGCCTTGCCCAGCCCCCCGGGGGGGGAGGGCCCTGCTTCTCTGGGCCTTCGGATGGAACTGTTTTCTCTCCGGCAAAGCTGGAGGGCAAGGGTTAGGGGAACGTGTGTGTAAATATTCCGGTGTGTGTTTTAACAGCATCACAATGCTTTCAGCACAGGTAAGCAAGGAACAAGAAATCTTTTTTAAAAAATGTTTTTATTACTTTTAAGGAGAGGAAGGGGGAGGGAAGGAGAGAGAGAGGAACATCGATCGGCTGCCTCCTGCATGCCCCTTACTGGGGATGGAGCCCGCAGCCTGGGCATGTGCCCTGACCGGGAATCGAACCTCAATCTCCTGGTTCATGGGGCGATGCTCAACCAACGGAGCCACGCCAGCCAGGCAAGCAAGGAATCTTTATATCGTGATATTACATGCTCACTTGGAGAGTTAAATCCAAAGTGTTTTGTCCAGATAAACTCCCTACAAAATTCTGAGGGAAAGGATGTTTTATAAAAACGATTATTTCTTGTTCATCGGCAAACAGCTCTCAAGACAGCACCTCTCTTTCCAGAATGTCCTCCAAAGTCAACTGTTCCTGCTGGCAGATCCCCTGACTGTGCCCGTGGCTCTGGAAACCAGGGCTGGCGCAGTGATGATGAAGGGGAGACACTGCCTGCTGGGGAGCTGGATTGGAGGCTGTGGTTCTTAAAAATAGTCACTGTGTTTCCCATGTGCCTCGGGCATCCGCGGCTGCCCGATCTCACAGTGGACGATGCCTTTGGTGCCCCACAGTGGCAGCCTGTGCCCCGGGGCCCGCTGATGTCCCCAGGGGCCAGGGAGCCTCCATCTCAGGCTTGGAGTTTCCAGCAATGGCTCTGCCTTCTGTGACCTTCTCAGATCCCTGCCACCTGGGACCCTGATAGAGACCAAGCCTTCTGCACAAAAGCTGGCCCAGAGGGGGGCAGAGGCTGACGGGGAAGACAGGTGAGGAGGGTGGGGAGAGCTTTTAATTGATTGGTTGGTTGGTTGGTTGGTTGGTTGACTGGGTGGTTGGTTGATTGGTTGGTTGGTTGATTGGCTGGTTAGTTGGTTGATTGGCTGGTTGGTTGGTTGATTGGCTGGTTGGTTGGTTGGTTGGTTGGTTGGTTGATTGGGTGGTTGGTTGATTGGCTGGTTGATTGGTTGGTTGGTTGGTTGATTGGTAGGCAGGTTGGTTGATTGGTTGGTTAGTTGGTTGATTTTGGTATAGCCTGGTGAAAGACTTAGAAAATTACACTGGTATCTCCATCTCCACCCCAGACCGTCCAAGTCACCGAGTAACAGAAGTGAGTTCCTCATTTAGCCACTCAGCGTCCTTTCAGGATTCACCTGATCCCCGGGGAAACCTGTTTCCAAGGGGAGCTTGACAGTCTCAGAACTGGCTGTTGTTCCCTCCCCACGTCCTGGCCCTTCTGCTAACACCCACTTTGCAGCCACCATCGTTTGCAGCTCATGTTCACCTGCAGAGACCTCCTGGCTCTCGTGTGTGAGGTTCCCTGCAGAGATGCATGGGCGGCAATATTTTGAAAGCTGTCATCAGTGTCTGTCTCAATGTCCTGAGGCTGCATTTCTGGGATGCTCCTGACAACCCCTCTGCGTGGGTGACTTAACAAGAGGCAGGCCAGGAGCTTAGGGCCCTGGACTGAGCCCTTCATAAGAGGGAGTACATGCTGCTGACTGGAATTTCCTGGGGAAAATGCAAAAATGCGGCAAAGAATTTTTCAGTTTCTGGGGTTTGCTACTGTAAGCTCCTTGTAGAGAGAGGGGAAAATCGTTTCCTATAAACCAAGAAGCAGTCTATTTATCACCACAGACCAGAATAGAACATGGGGCCGCACTGGCAATTCCGTTTTGCTACTTTTAAGGAATTCAGCTTTGTCACGCAGCCCAGATGGAGATGTTGATTTAATTCTGGCTCCTGCTCTGTGCTCTATTTCCACTTCACTCTCCTCTTTCATCTGGACAGACCGTATGTTGCCTTTCTTGCTCTCAGAGGGGAAGGGGCCGGGAAAGGCCGAAACTTGAAATCAGACCCTAGCTCCGCCTGGCCCTGTCAGTGCCCTGGGGTAGGTCTCTTCCCTCTCTGAGCCTCAGTGTCCCCACCTGTGAAATTATGTTCATAGTAAGTGTCACCCTGCCCTCAGCGGGTACCTGCCAAGATCGGATGTCATAATCTATGTGAGAATGCCTCGTAAATCGTGAATCACGCGCCACATGTTGGCGGTTGGTCTTCCAGCAACTGGAATGGTGCTCTGAGACGTGAATGGGTCCCTCATAATCTTAATAGCGATGAACAGACGGAGGCTGTCTTTCGCTCAGTTCCCGGAGCACCTGATGCGTGTCGTGCGTTGTTTGTTTCCTCCCTGTAACTGCCGTGGGGAAGGTACTGTGTGTCCGCACTTATTGGCAAGGGGACGGGGGTGGAGAGGTGAAGCGGGCCACTGGGGACACAGGCGCTCGGTGCAAGAGCGGCACCTGGACCAGGTCCTCAGGCCTGTGTGGCACCTGGAGCCTCGAGCAGGTAGCCAGGCCCTGCCTGTTGCCTTTGCCCCTTTGCCACATGTCAGGCCCCTGGGGAATCTAGCTCTCGGGTGTAGCACATGTGCCCCACATCTGCACCGTCCTTGGATCCCCAGAGCTGCGTGGGGATGTTTCGGTCATGGGTGTGGGTCCGGCGTGTGGGAGGAGAGGCTGAGGGTGTAGTAAGGGCCGGGCCCTGAGGTTCTCCCTCCCTCGTTGTCCATGGAGGCTTCAGAGAGGTCGCCCTGGCAGCGAGAAGGCCCGTGATGAGCAGCTGACCGCTGGGGAGTGTGGGATGGAACATTCTTTACCAGAGCTTCAGCTTTTTCCTGACCTATTTTGTAAAACTTTTCCCCCTTAATGTCTTATCTTTCTGTGAAATCCTACTCCACATTCACAGAAGTTGCTGTGTTGGTTTTTGCCAGATCCTCAGGAAGGCGCTTTCAGAGAGGTGACCTCTGGAGGTCACTGGCCGTGACAGTCCTACCCAGACGTGCCCCAAATGCCCAGGTGACCTCAGGCTGATGTCGGATGCACCGGGTCAGCAGCATCTCTCCTCTGGGCCTCTCCAGATGCTTGGTTTTCTGACTCCCTTGACCTGAGGGAAACACTTAATTTTGCGACTTTTTAGCTTCTTTGGAAGATGAAAGATACTCCCAGCGGACTTCACCCAAGAATCTGATGGAGAGGAATTTGCCCTTAGCTGGGCCAAAAGTGCCCTTTGAAATTTTTGAAGATTTCAGTTTTTCTTGATAAGTATCTGTTTTTTCTTTTGGTGGCTGTAGAGCAATCTAAAATGACTTCATTAATTGGCAGAATACCAGATGCTTTTGGTATTTCAACTTGCTTTATGAAGTCCGAACTAAGTATGGTTTTCTGCAGATCGGTCCCTCCGCTTGCTTTTGTCTGTTTGGTCATTGAGTGACTGTATCATTCACTCTTTCACTCATCTGTTCATTCATCAGAGCCGATGATCTACCAGATTCTGGAGACCGAGCAGAGGTGGGGACGGCTGCTCTGCAGAAGATGGTGGCGTTCTCACCACTGGGGACGAGTCTGCCATATGTAGAAGCAAAGGCGTTTCTCTCTCTCTCTCTTTAGGTAAAAATAGCAACAGAAAAGGCATGAGAACCAAGAGCTCCGAGAAGGCTGCCAGTGATGATCACAGCGCCTCCATGTCCCATGATGATGTCAGAGAGGGTGAGTGAGGCCCTGGGGGAGCCAGCGGGCCCTCGGAGCTACTAACGCACTGGTGGGCACGTGGGTGACTCCTGGTGACAACCAGTGACTGTGGGCCACAGTGCGATGCCCATTTTATAATGTGCTACAATGCTGAGAACCCCGGCAGGGACGGGTTATTTAACCGTGCATGTGTGCACATGTGTGCGCACACACGTGTTGGAAACGGGGTGCGGAAGGAGCCCGAGCACCCTGTCTTCACCTGCCTCCTTGGGAACGGAGCCTGGGCCTGGGCAACAGGCCTGCTCAGCACCCAGTGTGCTGCCTTTAAGGGAAACATAGAGTCGTCTTTGACGACTGTCACTCTCTCGCCTCCAAATTATGGCTGGTGTCCCATGGCGAGCGAGTGTCTTCCTGGGTGTTCTGTTCACACCTTTCTCCGGCTCTCCTCCCCCACGGGCCTCGGGATTAGAGTCTGTTTCCTCTTAGAGACGACAAAACCTTGATCTGCTGATGAAGGGCTTTGCCTGTTTTTGTCCGAGGCGCAGGGGGCTGTTCTGAGGGGCACTGGGGCTGCCGCTGGAACAGGTTGGCCCAGAGCTGGGTCTTGGCTGAGTTCCTGCCAGAGCGGCTGCCAGAGCCTGACTGGGGACTCGGGAAACAGGAGGGACCAAGTGCTGGGGACTAATTCCCACCGAACCCAAGCTGTGCTTCACAGCCCTTCTCAAAGTTCCCGTTCTGCCAGGAGCAGAAGACGATATTGTTTTATTTGCAGTGCTTTGCACATTGCCATGCGGGATACGAAGGGCAGGGCGGCCGAGGCCAGGTCGGTGCGTCTGGTTACTCTGCGGAGCTCAGCCTCTGGGCTGCTCTGACGCTTCTCACCAGTAACACTCTGTGGCTGAGTCACACCATGGAGGGATCTTGACTGAAACAGCCTCAGACAGTAGCTGGGCAGGAGCAGGGAGAAGGGAGGTCAGAGCAGAAACACCCAGGGTGGAAACTGGCAAAATGTAGACGGTTATCGACAGTGTTTGTCGGGAAACGCCAGGCATGCCGGGGTCTGGGGCTGCGGTGATGATGGGAGTTCGGGGGGGATGGAAAAGCTGTTGGCCAGATTTAGAAAACCAGAGACCCGCTTCCCTGCACATCTGTCCTGATCTGTAACAAGCTTTGACCTTTCCAGGTTGCCCGCCTCTTGGTCTGGAAACCTTGAAAATCACTGACTTCCAGCTCCATGCATCCACCGTGAAGCGCTACGGCCTGGGGGCGCATCGCGGGCGCCTCAACATCCAGGTACCAGCGCCGGGGACGGTTCCAATCGCACGGCCGCTTGCTCTGGTCACGGCCACGCGAGGGCTCACTGGGGGGGTCGGGCTCCACGCGTGGCGTTTAACGTGCATTGGCCCCCAGTTCTCATAGCAGGAAAGTGCTGCAGGCCCTCAGCTTACCGTCTTCAGCAAGGATGGAGACGGGTTCATGCTGGTCGTCCCTGCAGGGGCTTAGTGTTTCCCCAGTGGTGTGTCATCTGCCCAAATGCCCTCGGACAGAACCTCCACAACAGCTTGTGGTGTGAAACTGCAGCTTGCCTGCTGCGTCCGGGCCAGCTCCCCGGGCCTGGGCTCCCTGCCCTGTGGGTTACTCGGTGTTAGCCGCAGAGAGCAGGCTGCCTGCGGCCGTGGGAGGGGCTTCAATACACAGCCCTGCGGGGAGATGACGACTGGGGGGGCTGTTGTGGCTCCTGCCTCCAGAATCAGCACCCACGGAGCGTGACTCCGCGGAGCGGGTGCTCCAGAGCATGTCTTCCCATAGGCATGCTGGAAATGCAGCTAAAAACAGCCGCATCTTGCCTCACATACTCAGGTTTGGCAGGCGTGCCGATGAACGGATTTTGTGTTCAAGAAGCACCAAGGTGTCAGGATTAGACACGAGTTTAAATGCCGTGGGGCAGGGTGTGAGCCAGTTCGTGGGCCCTTCGCTGGCCCCGCTCTGTGGCACGTACGTGGTCCACCTGGAACTTGGGGCCCGAAGGCTTCATGCACCCTGGTCCTGCTAACAGGCTGAGTGGCCTTGGGCACGATGCCCACCCTCTCTGAGGCTGGTCTTCACCAGTGAGGTCCCTCCAGCTCTGGTACTTTCAAGGATCAAAGGCGTAAGGGGAGAGTTGTCCCTGGCAGTTCTCAGACACTATGTCCATTCCCCCACCTGACCTTTGTGAAGTGCCCGTTGTCGCCAGGACCTGCGCCAGGCTCCACAGCAGGGATGAAAGCCCCAGGTTACGCCCCTTCTCTCAGATGCCTGCCCCCCACCCCGTGGCAGAGGGGGGCGGGCGTCTGCTCGGACAGTTATCAGTGCTGTACTTCCTTACACCCCCTTCACCTTGGCTTTTTTTAAAGGTCAAATCCTAGCTTGATGGCTATATTAAAGTTTTTAAAAATCAATAGCACATGTCTCCTTAACTGTGCTAGTATTTTGGGGGATTGGTTTTTCTAAGTTGATTGCAGAGCAGCGTGGAGTTTGAAGCCCATTTTCCGGTGAACGTGGCTTTTAGAGCGCAAGAGTTTGCAGACAGTGAGCTTCTGCGGAATCGCGTTTGCCACCTTATAGCGGAACCGCCCGTCTCTTTGTCTCAGTCCGTTTGGGCTGCTGTGTCGGGACGCCGTAGGCCGGGTGACGTCTACACAGTTTATTACGCACAGTCCGGAGGCTGGCGTCCAAGATCAAGGCACCGGCAGGCGTGGTGCGGCGAGGGCCTGCCGGCTGGTTCGAAGGCCCGTCTTCTCCCTGTGGCAGGAAAGGCTGAGGGAGCCCACCCGTCGCCCGCCCGTCTGATGTGGCCCCGAGGCACCTGATGCCCCGTCTTGCCCGTGTGTGGAGACCGCGTGCATCCCGGCAGGAAGCGCGGGGCGACATCGTTTCCTCAGACACCACCCATGCCCACCCCCTCCTGCCTCTCGCTGGGGTCGTTTGCACCCAGAGTCTTCTCACCCCGAAGCCGGGTCCCTGGGTGGCCGGCCTCCCTGTTTCTGGCGGCGCGAACCCCGCTGTAACTCAGCAAGTCCCAGGTGGGGACTCCGTGTGCGAGGCGCTGCGGAGGCAAAATTAATCACCGTGGCTGTCGTTTCCAAACCACGGGATGTCCTGCCTGTTCCGACAAAGAGATTTCGTTCTGCATCTGGCCTCCAGGAGCCGTCTGGGAGACAGGGTTTACATGCCAGAATGCCGGAATCTGGGATATTTGGGTTTTTATGGGAATCGCAGGACCACATATTTTAAATCACAGCTCTCCTGGAAATTCAAAATGAGCGTTACCGTAATGACGGTCTCACGGCCTGTATCCTCTCGAAGCCCGTGAGACAGACACTGAGCCGCTCGTGGAACTGAGCCCAGGACGGGGAACTGGGGGACAAGGGGAGCCCAGCGCAGCCAGGCGCCCGGCCTGCGGGCCCCAGCTCACTAGGGACTCGGCACTCGGGTTCGGAGGTGGATCGATCCCGCCTGCTATGTGAATCTTCCTCTGCTATTTTATTGAATTTCATTAAGCTAATATTTCATTTCATCTTCATATACTCAGAGAGAAGCTGTTTTAGAGAGAAGGATATTGAGGCCAGAGGCTAAATGTCCTGCCCTCACCCACAGCTCGTTGGTGCGGAGCTGAGATTCAGGTTCAGGGTTGTGGCTGGCTCCTTCCTCTGCACCTCGGGCCCCAGGAGAAGGTCAGCGCGTCTGTGGCTTCTGGTCTCCCCCAGTGTCCCTCTCGTGACTCATCTCCCTGACCTCTGGCCTGAGTGGCCCCTGGTACCACGGGACCCACCTCCTGGCAGGGCCCAGAGAAGCCTGAGGGGTGTCGCAGGCACACCCACCGAGCCTGTGTCCATTACGCTTATGTATATATTTAAATGTGTTTTTATTTATTTTAGAGAGAGGAAGGGAGAGGGAGTGAGAGAGAAACATCAATGATGAGAGAGCCATTGCCCGCTGCCTCCTGCAGGCCCCCCGCTGGGGACCGAGCCCGGAGCCCGGGCCTGGGCCCTGACCGGGAACCGCACCGCGACCTCCTGGGTCATAGGTCAGTGCTCAGCCGCTGAGCCACGCTGGCCGGGCTGCAGTTTGGTTTTTTTTAGAGAAAAATTTAGGTCTCCTGTGGCATGGGAGTGGGGACATGGGAATCTTTCTGTTTGTTTTTAATATATGCATTTGAACTAGTTCCCCGAGTTCAGTGCTTCCTCACCGTCACCTTCCGAGACCGAAGGCCCGTGCAGAGCGTCGGGTCGGGGGGCTGGCTCGCTCGCCGGGGCGCCTCTCGCCAGGCGGCACTTCCTCCTCTTGCTGTTGCTCAGGACGCTCCCTCTGATGTCCGTCCTCACGTATTTGAATTTGGGGGTGACACGTGTCTTCTAGCTTTGTGGGAGATCAAGGGTGTTGTTTCTTTATCTTGTTTCCTTCGTTTGGGGGGAATTTTTGAAAGAAGAACCCAGAAAAAACAACATACTTACTGCGTCATCGTGAAACAGAAGAAGCCCACTTGACTGGTCTTAAGTGGAGAGCTTCGGGCTGTCTCTTTGCTATGGATTTAACAATCCCCACATTTATCTGGAGGGAAACTTAGTCTGTTAGTGGCACTGGTGGCTTTTTTAGGGTCTAGTAATGACGCCTGTCACCTCATTGCCTCGAGAGAGTTGCATTAATTCTCTATTTATTTTTTTATTCCACTCTTTACCATTCTGCGTGGTAAAGAGTTCAAGACTAGCTTATACTTTAAGGAAGTAAACCGTTCATTTCAACAACTTGATTGGAATTTCTCCAAACTGTAGGGAGTGTTTCTCTGCGTTATTAACAGAAGGGGGGATGCGCCCGTCTCCTGGTGTCTGAGGTGTGGAACCAGCGCCCTTTGCGCAGTTGGTGTGAATCGGGGACACCTTGCTGCCGGCACCCCCCCTCACCGAGCTCCCCCGGGTGCTTGCTTTATAACTGACTTTGCAGAGGTGGCTGTCATTTCCCTGTGAGTCAGTCTCAGGAAGGACTCTCTGGTCCCTGACATCTTACTGCATTTAATTGACTGTCGAGTGAGTTCAGCAAGAGCTGAGATCGGCAGCGGAAGCAAAATATCCAGGTTGGCAAAACCAGGATCCTGGCAGTTAATTCCAGATCAGGGTCAGCAGGCTGGTCGGATGCCAGGAGGATGGCTCCTCGCAGCTCCCACGGGTGCAGAGGGGTGAGCCTCCCGGGCTGTGCGGCAGCTCTGGTCGTGTCCGCTCAGCCCCCGGCCGGGCATCTCAGCCTCGGCACGATTGGCATCGGGGCTGGGCAGTTCCCTTTGGAGGGGCTGCGCTGCACAGTGCAGAATGTTTACCACTTTCCCCGGCCAACGGCACCACCTCTCTCAGGTGTGATAGCCCAGACCCACTCCCGACGTTGCCACGTGTCCCGAGGGGCAACGTGGCCTCCTGTTGAAATGTCACACCATTCGTCTTCTCGCTTTTCCGAGTTTGTGAATCTGTTCTAGATATTTGAAGTTGTAGAAAATGTGTCGGCAATGGACCCGAATAGTATTGTAATTCCCTAGAATTTTATAAAATGTGAAATAATTGGTAAAGCACCCAGATTTCCATGACTTGCCAAATCATCATAGTTTTAAATATACTGTTAACTGACTTTTATTGAGCACTTTTGGGGGGGGGGGCTTATGCTATGTGCTGGGCTCTGTTCTAAAGCACTGTCAGCACCCTAAGGGAGAAACGATCATTGCCCCCACTTTCATGGGTGGGGAAACCGAGGCACAGAGCATTTAGGCAAATCACCTGAGTTTATTCAGCGTGTAAGCGGCAGAGTGGGATTCACACCCAAGCCGGGGACTTTGGAGCACGAGATCTTAACCAGCACTGGGCAGTGGGTGATCTTAGATGCCAGGAGCCAGGGGCACGCGGCTCGGGTAGGTGTCAGTCCATCTGCCTGTTCTAAGCTGTCGGTCTCTCTCTGGGAGGATGGCTGCCCCCCATGAAGAAAGGGGGTGTTCATGTCACCGTAGCCTTCGGGATGGGGTGGCGGCCTCCCGCCGCCTGGCAGCGTTGGGGAGCGAGAGGCCTCGCTTAGCGGAGCCGCCATCATGTTACCGAAATGCAGAGAAGCGCGCGAGGAGCCGGTCACGCACGCCTGCAAAGGTCGGCCTTTTGGGGATGGTTCTCGAAGGCAGCGCCTTTGGCACTTCCCTGTACATTCAAGTCAAAGGGACCTCGGGCAGCAATCGTAGCCGACAGTCAACGCATCGGTGNTTGACAACGCATCGGTGACTGAAGTGCTAGTGAAGAAATACTCACTAGATGAGCCTGCCTTCAATACCCAGCTCAGACGTCGCCCCGTCGATTTCTCGAGGCTCCCGTCCTGGTCTCCCCAAGTCAGCAGGGCTCTGCCCTTAGCGCCCTCACTCCAGTTCGCTCCTGCTCCTGTGTTAACACGGACCCCGTCCTGTTCTAACCCTGACTTTCTTCCCGCCCGGACGGCGAGCTCTGGGCGGGAGCAAGGCCTCCTGTGTCCCCAGCCCTCGGCAGGCCCTGTGCGGGCTGGTGTGCGGGAGGCGGCCGTGTCTGTTGGGTGAAGGAGCCATAGGGGAAATCGCTAAATTTCACCTTCCGCACCCGGCCAGAGGAGGGCCCGGCTCCCTGAAGCAGCTCGAAGTTTTAATAGTAATCAGCTCCCTTTCCTGGCTCAGAGTTCGGGGCACAGCGTGATTTTTTAACCCCCTTTCTCAGTCTCTTCCCGCCCCCCTTTGAAAAGATTTACGTCCGAGTTCACGGGTCCGGGGCCTCTGTGCAGAACACGTGTGTTTCCTTCCAGGCAGGTATCGGCGAGAACGACTTCTACGATGGGGCGTGGTGCGCGGGCAGGAACGACCTCCACCAGTGGATCGAGGTGGACGCCAGACGCCTGACCCGCTTCACGGCCGTCATCACGCAGGGGAGGAACTCGCTCTGGCTGTGAGTGTGGCGCCTGTGCTGGCGTGGGCCCCGTGCCCGGTCGGAGGTCCCGGGGCTCAGACGGAGACGGAGAGGGGCCTGGCGGTGGGCAGGGAGGCACCTGGCAGTGGGCGGAGAGGGGCCTGGCAGTGGGCAGGGAGGCACCTGGCAGTGGGCGGAGAGGGGCCTGGCGGTGGGCAGGGAGGCACCTGGCAGTGGGCGGAGAGGGGCCTGGCGGTGGGCAGGGAGGCTTTGGGCAACAGAAAGGAAGAACATTGGGAAGTGGGCAGGAGCTGGGCGTGCCGCAGACTCGAGTGCCCCTGGGAAGGTGCCTCTCTTAGAACGGCCGCCGCCCCCTTACAGGAGCAGGGAGAAGGGTCCGCTGGCAGGTTAGGCTGCGTGGACAAGGTGCAGTCAGAACGGCGCGGCTTGGGCAGGTGGGGGCCGCCTTGGACCCACGGTGGGTTGTGGGTGCCCAGCCGGTGGCCTGAGCACAGCCTGGGGTAAGGACTCAGGAGAGCAGTGAGCCACAGGTGACAGGCCCCAGGAGGAGAGGGTGTGAATCTCCCAGATCCTGGGAGGAAGACTGGAGGCCGAGGCGGGCTCCCGAGTAAAGGACGGCTGGAGAGGTTGCAGAAGTGAGGGGTGGACGTGGGAGGCCCAAGAATGAGGCGGATGCCCGTTTCTCAGGCCCCGCTGTGGTCAGGGCGGGTCAGAGACGGGGGACCTGATAGTAACCCCCTTAAAAGGGGCTGCAGCCCCTGAAAACTCTCCACGGCGTGGTCCCTCCGCACCGTGGGATCGCAGTCAGCGGTCAAAAAGGAAGGGGATTCCGACTCCCGCGGCCACAGGGGTGACCCTCGAGGACATCACACCATGTGCAATAAGCTAGACTCAGAAGGACAAACACTGTCCGATTCCACTCAGGCAGGGCCCCTGGAGGAGTCAGATTCCTAGAGCAGGACGCAGAGCGG